GCCCCCTCCTGGTAACAAAACATACCCACTGAATCTTCCCCAAGTGCAGGGATGCATGGTGGCACACTGAAATAATTCTATTTTTAAAATCAATTCAAAGCAGAAACTTCTTCTGTCACACGGGAAAAAAATGTGCATCATCTGAATGCGAAATAAATGACAAAACAGAAACTGCAACATCATGTAAATGGGGTATAACAATAAATCTCACATTTGTTAGTGAAAAAGCGGAAAAGATGCATTACTTATACTTGTTTGTACCCTCTGTAACGGTACTGGGACATGCTAACGAAGTATTGAGTTTGATGTTGTATTACATTCTAGATCAGAGCTTTATACAACTGAACAACATACGTTATATGAAAATGCTTCAAAGTCGTCGAAAATTTATTTTTAAAGAATAGTCAAACATGAAGGGTAGGTATTAATTAGGAAAATGATGGATTGTGTAATGTACACACATGAAAATGATTGGATTAAAAATAATTTTTGCATTCATTTCCTGTATATTTTCCTGTCGTAATGGACATAATTACTAGTTATTATTTAAAATAATGATTATTTCCTATATATATGTTGTGCTGCTTATCAAATAGGAGACTCGTTCGATAAGACGAAGTAGTTTCTGATCAAGACTACAGTCAGCATGATGGGTTCTCGCAAATTTGTATATGTGTTCATTTCGATGTACTTGGGTACTTATGTCAATGGACAGAGTAATCAACTGAATGAATGGAATGAAATCGACACACATCAAGGTTGGTATTATAATTCATATGGTGCAGCTGAACTACAATCACGCAAACTACAGCGATTACCGAACAAGAAACCTGAATCTATAGCTTCACTCAAATTTTCAACATCATATGTCTTTCTAAGATTTTATTTTGCGCCGGTGTGACAGAAATTGGGCAACATTTCTTTACATCCGATTTGTTGAAAAATATTCCCAATTTCAACTAAGCAAGTAGCTTAATAACGTGTAATACGTTACCAATTACTGCAATGAATGAATTAAAGTGCATACTGGATGGATTCAACTGGTTTACCTATGGAGACTTAGTGTTCTGCATATGGATACACGTGTTGTGGTTCGCCTGATTAATTTTTCATATGCAATACTTTATGTCTTAGGTGACGAGAAAGACATATGTACCGGATACACTCCATATTGTACTGCAGAAATGCAACAAGAAATGAGTGCGACTGAACAAGCAGGGTTTGAACGTACGATTATTGAGAAGATTTCATCGGTTCAAGGCACGTTACGAAGAGGATACGAAGAATTTGATGGTATGTATGGCATCTACATGATTCGTAATTTGTCAAATTAACAAAAATTATGTTTCTCGTACATTTGTATTATAAGGCGTGCATTAGGGTTGTTTGTGTTGTGGGATTGGTTGGTACCCAATTCTTTGTTTGTATTGTCTTTGTTTTGGTTCAAAAAAAAGTAAAACAAAAAAAATCCTGAAATCGGGATTGAAATCAGTTATAGCTTCGAATTTGAAAACGAATGTAAAAACAAACCCCCGGAGGCAAACTGTTAACATTCCGGCAAACCGTACTTGGCTGAGGGGTGAGTTACTTATGTGGCAAAATAGATTCCTCGTTTGTTCTTTTTCTGTTCGTGATATAGTAATATAATATATTAAGTATAGTATATAATTCTCATTACAACTCATAATTAGAATACCATTTCATTCCAGTTAGAAAGTGGAACTATGTGATTCATAATTATTTGAAGAATGTAAATACAAAAATAAAGACAAAGAAAATAATAATTATTTACTTTAATATGACATCTCCTGAAAGCCTTTACGATTTTCCTGTATGGAATATATCAGGATTTGAAAACCAAAATCAGGCATTTAATTTTATTTTCAGATTTCATCGATGAACTACTGGAAACAGCGTCGGCAGATTTAAGTTCGATGTTTACTAAAGTATATGGTTATATGTATAAAGAAAAGCTTGCATCCATTTACGGCGATTTGTTTGATGGTTGGATGGAATACAATCAAGGAAATTATGTCGATCTAGGTTTACAAGCTCACGATATGTTCTATTCTCAGTTTGGTGCTCTTATTGAATTGCTTTTCCCACAGTACGATATAGACGACGATTTTCTGCAGTGCTCGTGGGCTTTCATACCTGAGTCATACAGGAAAAGTCAGAGTGAATTACAGAAAGACATAAAACAATCATTTGGTGCAACTAAGGCATATCAGAAGGGCTTAGCTGTCGCTGTTAATGTATTGGACGTTCAACAGGTAACACAATGTTTGTTTACACATTTACACATTGGTGATATACACATGATATACTAGTAATCAGTCATAATAGACTACATTCTTATAATATCAGTAATTTTCAAGATACCTTTCTCATTTATAACTTTTACTAATAACTTTACAGGTTAACTGCAACTTTATTTTGCAGTTGTCACGAAATTGTAATCATCATTTTGCTTATGAGTCCCAAGTCAGGGTACTCGAGAAGTTTTGCTTAGAAAAATGTCTCCTTCAAAATGACAATGAAATACGAAGCATGTATGCCTCTCTGGATGGGAATTGAAATCTTAGCATAAGATAGAGTAGTGTATTTTGTCGCCATGGAAACAAAATAACACACAATTTTAATTTCATAAAAAATAATTATTTTATTGAAAACATTGCATGCCCCAATCAACGAAGCACTTCATGTGACGTCATCATTAGTAGATATGTGATAGCAACTTCGTTCTGATGAAAGCCAATGTGTTGTTTTGTTATTCAGAATATATCAACTCTAATATGATACAGATCAAAACAATACCGGCACAGTAAAAGACCTTGCTTACCCCTTGTTTACGTCACAGGATAGTTTCGTCGGCAGAGGGCGCGACTAATATAAATTCTGTCACATTATAGTACATATATATATATATTCATATAACCACGTTTCCTTCTTCGTGACATTCAGTTGAGGACATCTACCGAATGCCGGAATGAACTAATGAAAATGTCTACATGTGACGAATGCAAAGGGCTGATGCCTGTCGAGCCCTGTCATGGTTATTGTTTGAATGTTATTGGCGACTGTCTGGCAGACTTTGTTGCCCTTGATAATGAGTGGAATGTGTTCATAGGTAAGTGTGTGTAACACGTTACTGGGCAGAACTAATGCAAAAATGGTATGTCTCCGTTTTACTATTGTTTTGAGCTGAAAGGTGTCATATACTGTCACACTGGCACGTTTACTTTAGTTATCACACGTATTTTTGTTGTTTTTTGCCTCCCCTTATTTTCCTTGCTTGTTTGTTTTCTGAAAAAGCCCACGACAACAGGGATACATTATAGAAGCCGTCACTATGAGTTATTTTTTTTATTTGTTCACTCATATTGTCATTTCCTGCCAGCGGGCTCAGGTCCCATTTACAGAATTGAGGAACAGCACAACTCAAGCATACAGTCACGTGTATTGAGAGGAATGCATCAGTTGTCCCGTGGTAAACTCTGCTCTATGCTCTATCTTTACGTGAAAATTCGTTAGCAAAACTGATGGAATAATGAAATCAAATTAGAATTAATTGCCGGTGTAACTGTTGAAGATAGGTGTAACCTATTGCCAATACTGCGTGGTCCTTGATTCGAATCAGTAGGAAGCGCTAATGTGTTCGCGACTTCATGGTGTCTGTATAGTTTTGGTGTCAGCGTAGGGGACTATAATTCTACATTTAGCCATTGATTAAAACAATGACTAAGGTTGTTTTGGCTGGAGTA